CCCTGTCTAACACAAGGTCTTGCACAAAGTCATTGCTTTTGAAATGCCTAGAAGTCACCTACCAAACACACTTTAGAGAGTGTAGGACAGGATAGACGACATCATTTTCTAAGCTCAGTGCAAAATGAAAATGCAGGGCCCTTACTGAAAAGTTTGGAGGAATTCTTAGACAATTATAACAGAGCATTAAAGCAAATGGGGGCCTGTGTTGGCGTGTGGGCCTATGCAGTTGCCCTGATGGCATCCTGAAGGGCCTTGGGGCCAAGCAGCAGGCCCCTGGACTTGCTGTATTCTGTCTCACCTTCACTGTCACCCTGTGAGGGGCAGAGAACATGGCAACAAACCTCAAGATCCAAATATCATCATGCTATGTTTTTGGTACAATAAAGCTTGTTTCAGATAACTGGGTGATAGGCTCTATGTGTAGGGTAGTTTATAAAACAGAGAGAGTTTTCTAATTCTACAAGAGATATGGTTTTGACCTGAAATTGTGCATGAAGCAGGAACCCCACTTCTATTGTTGTTGCTGTTGTTAGCTTGTCATCGAGTAGGTTCCAGCCCATAGGAAACTTATGCACAAGAGAACAAAACACTGCTAACCCCACCATGGTTCCTCAGCTCAAGTCCCTTGTTACAGTCACTATGTCAATGCATCTTGTTGAGGGCCTTCCTCTTTACCACTGTCCCTCTACCAAACATGATGTCCAGCCGTCTGACAACATGTCTAAAATATGTAAGATAAAGTCTCACCATCATTGCCTCTAAGGAGCACTCTGGCCACATTTCTTCCAACATAGATCGGTTTGTCCTTTCAGCAGTCTATGGTACTTTCAATGTTTGTTGCCAGCACCACAATACAGCACCACCTCCATTCTTCTTTGGTTTTCCTTTCCCAATGTCCAACTTTCACAAGCATGTGAGGCAACTGAAAATACCATGACTTGGTCCTGGAGCACCTGAGTCTTCAAAGTAACATCCTTGCTTTTCAATACTGTAAAGAGGTCGGGTGCAGCATATTAACTAATGCAACATGTCTTTTGATCTTTTGATTGCTGCTTCCATGAGCATTGATTTTGGATCCAAGCAAGATAAAGTCCTTGACAACTTCACCGTTTTCTCCGTTTATCATGATGTTACCTATTGGTCCAGTTGTGAGGATTTGGGTCATCTTGACATTGAGTTGTGATCCCTATGAAGGCTGTAACCCTTGATCTTCATTAGAAAGTCCTTCAAGTCCTCCTCACTTTCAGCAAACAAGCTTGTGTCATTTGCATATCAAAAGTTGCTAATCAACCTTCCTTCAATCCTGGTGCCACATTGTTTTTCATATAAACCAGCTTCTCTGATTATTGGCTCAGCATACAGATTGAACAAGTATGGTGAGAGGATACCACCCTGATGCACACCTTTCCTGATATAAACCATGCAGTATGTTCTTTTTCTGTTCACCCAACTGCCTCTTGACCCATATACAAGTTTCCCATGACCACAACAAAGTGTTTTAGCATTCCCATTCTTATCAAGGTTATTCATAGTTTGTTATGATCCACACAGTAGAATGCCTGGGCATCATAGTTAATAAAACACAAGCAACTATTGCTATTCTCTACTTTGAGCCAAGATTCATCTGACATCAACAATAATATCCCTTGTTCCACATCTTCTTCTGAGTTCACACTGGACTTCTGGCAGCTTCCTATCAATGGACTGCTGCAACTGTTGTTGGATGATCTTCAGTAAAATGTTACTTGCATGTGATAGTAATGATATTGTTCTATAACTTGAGTATTCTGTTGGGTTACCTTTCTTTAGAATGGGTACAAATATGGATTTCTTCCAACCAGCTGGTCAAGTAACTGTCTTCCAAATTTGCTGGCCTAGATGAATAAGTGTTTCTAATGATTCATTAGCTTGTTGAAACATTTCAACTGATATTACATCAATTTCTGGAACCTTGTTTTTGGCTAGTGTTTTCAGAGCAGCTTGAACTTCTTTCAGCACCACTGGTTCTTGCTTGTATGCTAACTCCTGATATAGTAGAATATGAACTAGTTCTTTCTGGTACAGCAATTCTCTATGTTCTTTATATTTTCTTTTGATGCTTCCTGCATCATTCACTATTTTGTCTTCAGAATCTTTCAATAATGCAACTGGAGGCTTGGATTTTTTTCTTGAGTTCTTTCGGTGTAAGATATGATGAGTGTGTTCTTCCTTTTTGGTATTCTAACTCTAGGTCTTTGCAAATTTTATAATTTTACTTGTTTTCTCATCAAGCTGCCCTTTGAAAATGTTGTATTCAGCTCTTTGACTTCATCATTTCTTCTATTTGCTTTAGCTACTCTAAGATTGAGAGCAAGTTTCAAAGTCTCTTCTGACATCCATCTTTTGATCTTTTCTTTCTTTCCTGTCTTTTTAATGACATTTTGCTTTCTTCATGAATGATGCTCATGATATCCTCCCCCTGCCCTTCAGGCCTTCTGTCATCAGCATTCAATGCATGGAATTTGTTCTTGAGATGTTCTCAAATTTCAGGTGTGTAGACTCATATGAGCAATTGATGGTCTGCTCCACAGTCAGCTACTGGCCTGGTTTTAGCTGCTGATATTGAGTTTCTCCATCTTCTCTTCCCATCTGGAGAAGTCCATGTGTATAGTCACCTTTTGAGTTATTGAACAAAAGTATTTCCTCTGAATAAACAATTAGTCTTGCAAAATGCTGTCATGTAATCTCCAGCTTTGTTTCTATTGCCAAGACCATGTTTTCCAACTCATGTTCCTTCAGCTTTGTCTCCAACTTTTGCATTCCAATCACCAGTAATTATCAATGCATCTTGATCACATATTTTATCAATTTCAAACTGAAGTTGTTGGTAGAATTCTTCAACTTCTTCATCACTAGCTTTTATGGTTGGTGCATAAATTTCAATAATAGTTGTCTTGATTTGGATTAACTTAAAGGCAGATAAATATAATCCTATCAGACAGCAGGAACCCTGATTGCAGTGGTTATGCATTGAACTACTATCCACAAGGCCTGCAGTTCAAAACCACCATGCACTCGGTGGTAGAAAGACAGGACTTTATACTCCTGTAGACAGTTACTATCTTGGAAACTCATAGAGGCAGTTCCACCCTGTCCTATAGGGTCACTATGAGTTGGCATTGACTCGAGGGCAGTGAATTTGGTTTGTGTTGTTGTATCCCAGACAGCGTTATGCTTCAAGACTGATTTTGCAATATCCTTTTTGATGACGAATGCAGTGCCACTTCTCTTGAGTGTGTTATTCCTGGCATAGTAAATCATATGATTTTCTGATTCAAATTGGCCAATACCAGTCCATTTCAGTTCACTAATATCTAGGATATCGATCTTTATGTGTTCCATTTCATTTTTGTTGAAGTGTTAGTGTGGGTTGACTAGGGGAAAAATTCACTGACACTCATATATGTGTGAAAGAACTTATATCAAGAAGTAATGATGCATCAATAAAACATCCCAGCCCAGTCCAGAGCAAGTCCATAAGTCTGATATTAGACCGTGAATTCCTCTTAAGACTCATGCAGAACATGCAATGATGCAAAATGCAGGACGATCACAGGCCAGTGGGTGTCACACCTTGTGGATCCTGTGGCAGTGGAAGCATCTCAGCACTGGTGTGGGTCTCCATGTGGCTCTTCTAGCTGTCGGAGTGTGGATCCTCAACAGCATGGTGAAGCAGAGAGAGAGAGAGGAAGTTCCTAGAATCCTCATGAAAAGGCCATGTCCACACGGAGGCATCATCAGGCTGTGGCCTGCCTGAGAAGCTAGATTCCACCCCTTCACTCTTAAAACCCTCAAGTTGACATGAGATTATGTAACTACCACAGATGACGTCCAATATTCCGAGATTTGAACATTCCATGTTCTCGTCATTAGCAGATTTTTGCAGCTGTTTCTCCTCACCTTGAATAGAGTCCCATCAGCAAATGAGGATCCCTAAGGCTTCATTCCCACAGGTTTTACCCCACTCACATCACCATGGTCAACTCCACTCCGAGAAGTCAGCTCCTCCTCAATTGACTTTTGAGCATCTTCTGACCCGAGGGTCCCATCCTCCAGCATTAAGTCCGAAAATGATCAGCTTCCATTCATTATGCGTTCAGTATCTGACAATGTCTGGTAGCTATGCATAAGATTTTCAGTGCCCACTTCCTTCCTAAGTGGGCAGCGGATTCCTTCTTTGTTGTCTGTTCTTAGTCTGGAAACGTCGCTGAAATCTGTTCACTTGGGGTGACCTGCTGGCATTTGAAATACCAGTGACATAACTTCCAACATCACAGCAACTCACAAGCCACTCCAGTAGGAAAAACTGACAGACAAGTGATGCCACCCCTATTACCCTCCTGCAAAGATACTATGAACATAAAGATCAATGATGTAAGAAATACACTGCAAAGAAGAATCACAAATTCAGAGCCCTTAGTTAACCATCCATGTCCATATACACCAATTGGTTGATATTTATGAGCTGTCTTTGCCATTGTTTTTGGCGGGTTCGTTCTTACATTCTCATGGAAGATGTTAAAAGATACCTTGAGGTAGACTAGACTCTCCCTGAAGAACCAATGACCCTCACAACCCCCTGAACACTTACGACTTGCATTCTCCAGTCGAACGAGACAATTGAGGAAGTCATCAAAGTCCACTTGTAGTTCTTCATCTGCATACCTGAGGATGATCAGCTGCAGAAGTTGATTGCTCAGTTGGAAGCCTGCAGGGGGATGTAGGAGAACCACAATCCATCATGTCTGAGTTCCAAGTCTCTGCCCTCCCTGGGGCACTCCTAGGCAGAGAGCTGGGGAGCCAGTGATGGAATGTCAACTCATTCCTTACAGAGCACAGGCTCTCCGAACCCAGGGCTGAACAGAGCAAGAGGGTGCTTTTATTTGTTGGGGTGGATGGGTGTGGTTGAGCTCACTAGTTTACCCCAAACAGCTTCCAAGCTTAAAGAAGGCATTGTCTTGGCTTGAATGCCAATATCACCTGTAGGTTTTTGCTGACTTCTGAAAAAGTCAGCACTGGGGAGTTTCACATTGCAAGATATATGAGCCCAAACTCCACTCCTACACAATGTTCTCTTTAGTTCCTTGTGATTCCTGTGCGTGTATATATATTTTCACAGGTGTTTCAGCCCTCCACTGGTGGATCTTTAGGAGTGATATCTTAGAGAATTGTTTAGGCACACATGGATACTGGCTCTTGCTCAGCCATAAGGAGGGAGAGTACTAGACCAAGATCAGGGGCTGGGTGTCAGACTATACTGTTGTTCTATTTCTTTGTGCCCCAGGGTCCTCACGTCTCAGTAAGGTAAAGTTCCTTCTAGATAACACTTTGATTACCAATCAATACCCTTACAGTGATTTCCCCCTTTCATATATTCCTTGACAACTTTGCTAGGCCAGGGTTCTCAGTGCAGACTATGTAATCATCTTCCCTTTTGTGATCTGATATGAACAGTCAATCTGTTGGAAAGGGAGTTTCCTTGTGGATGTGGCATGCTTTCAGTTTATAGATGGATGTTCTGGCAAAGATTGCTCTCTCAACCCTGCACTCTTCTTATTGCTTGATCCCTGGTTCTTGGGAAGTAAGCCTGCAGCCACTTTACCTGCAGATTAACTCTGCTGCCTCACCTGTAGATTTTGGATTTGCCAGACTCCACAACACAGTAAGCCTGCAGAGGCCTCCAGTCTCCTATCTCACTTGCAGATTTGGGGTCTATCAGCCTTCCCAACCATGTAAGCCAGTAGATGTTGCCAGTCTGCTGCCTGACTCATGGATTTGGGACTTGCCAGCCCCTATAATTGAAAGAGCCATTTTCTCACATTTATCTGAGCCATTTCCTTGAAGTGAACTTCTATATACTTCACTGGTTTTGTTCTTCTAGAGAATCCCGACTCAGACATATGTAGAAGCCAGATTTTTCCAACATGGCCTTGATTTTGTACATGCTGGCTCTTTATCCGAGCATGAAATTGAGAATGTTTCCAGATGTCTGGAATACCTGGGAGGGCATTCAATACCAGCCCCGGCAGAGCCTAGGGGCCTGTGAGTCAGGCCTTGTGGTAGCCCAGAGTGGCAAGGGTGTGAGATGTGTAAACTATTGCCATTAAGTTGATCCGGATGCATAGTGACTATAAAAATCATGACTGTATGGGAAGGAAAGCTGAAAAAAGACCCATGCTGAAATATGGTGGCTAATATTGGGTTAGCAAGCCACCTGGAACCAATTCTTTACAAAATGGAGCAGGGTGTAAATCATTACTAAATAATCTGATTTGGACACAGTGTTTGCTGCTGACAAGGCTAAGGGTAGCCACAACACAGCAGACAGGTGTAAGTTATGTGAACTGAGCCGGGAGGAGCACATCATTAGCCCAGAGAGCCATGGGACCACTGTGTGCCCTGTCCCTTATATAATCACTGTCAGAAAGCAGGCGCCAGAGGGAGGAGGCAGAGTTGCACTAGGTCTGCCAGACCAGAAAGTCACTGATGAGAGGCCTCAGGGGTCAGGCTAAATTCATCCCCCGGATGCATTTTTAGAATGCCCACCAATGCCGTATAGTGCGTAAAGAGGCTGATTCTGCAGGGAGAAAATCTTGGGTATGAAATCTGTTGTGCCACTAATACATGGCCACCGGAAATGTAGATGCTGAGACTCACCCAGGTCGGTGGGAAGTGCAGGGCAGGGATTGTGAGGAGTAGGGAAGAGTGGGCAGAAAGCACTGGGAGCAGTGAGTGCTGGGACACAGGTCCTCCCACAGACCTTTCCCAGGTGCTTCCTTACCTGCCGCTTTGAGCGCGATGCGCAGCTCATATGAAGACATGGTGCCAGACTTGTCCACGTCAAACTGAAGAAACAGGCTCTACAGGGAGGAGAGCAGAGGGACTGAGAACACCTCCTGGGGCAGAGAGAGCATTTGGGAGAACACAGGCTTCCTTCCCACGACTAAGGGGAGGGTGGCTGCCCAGGGGGAGTAATCCTACTGGAAGCCCTAAAAGGAGTGCTTGGTGATAGAGCCAAAGTATATTGGTCTTCTGTTGTTTTAACTTTTCATGTGGAGGAAGCTCTGTCAGTACAAGAGTAAGTTAAATATATATATTTATATTTATATAATATACTAGGTCCTAGTTCAGACATGCACAAGTTTATTCCAAACTAAGCATGTTTAAGCATGTCTCTGTATCAGTGGATGGCTGCAGACAAGCTCTCTCGGGAATACACTCGTCTTAGTCTTATTAGAGTGCTTTCAAAAAAAGATATTTTCTAGGCCATAGTTCCAAGTCTCTGCCCTCCCTGGGGC